CATTAAATCAAGTTTAAACGTTCTGACAAAAAGAAACTGATTCATTATTATAGCGTGCTGACGTCAAGAAACTGATCCATTATTCTAACGTGCTGACCTCAAGAAACTGATTCGTTATCATAAACGTGCTGACAAAAAGAAACTGATCCATTATTATAAACGTGCTGAAAAATGATCGAAATTTATTTATTATTTTAAACGTGCCGACGGAAAGAACTCGAGTTTTTATGCTTAAAACGTGCCGACGCAAAGAACCTGAGTTATTATACTTTAAACTTGCTTACGTAAAGAAGCCGAGTTATTAAACTTAAAACGTGCCGACGCAAAGAACCTGAGTTATAAAACTTAAAACGTGCTGACATAAAGAGCCTGAGTTATTATACTTTAAACGTGCTTACGTAAAGAAGCCGAGTTATTATATTTAAAACGTGCTGATGTAAAGAACCCGAGTTATGCGTTCTGATTTCAATAAACAGAGATATGTGTTTAAACGTGCTGTCGCCAAGAACCTGTAAACTAAATTCATAATGTTTCGTCTAAATAGTTGATTAGTTGGTCTGGAAAAGCATTATCTAAAGATTACAATGTTAAGGATTATTTTGGAGGAAATGAGAAGAGCAAGGTTGTTGTTAAGCTAAGCAAGGTTGGGAGCGGAGTTCCGTCCAGAGAACCCAGGCTCTCGGAGCAAGATAGAAAACAGCTCATGCTCTTAGAGCATAGACGAAGAGAGGAACTCAAAAAACTTATTAGGTATCACAATTTTTTTGCTTTTTTTTTGCTCACGAATATATAATTTTATTCTTCTCTTACACCTTATATTTTTTTTACAAATTGTAATTGAGCTTAAATACGTTCAAAGTCTCTTTATCCGGTCCCAGCCAATTCGTAATGCAGGGTTACGCATAAAGGAGGAGACTGTAAAGACGATCCAAGGTAAGATAAGATAAGATAAAGTTTATTGCTAAAATAAATGTATCTGTATACAGATAGAGTTTACAATCACAAAATTGATGATTATATTAACAGTACAAGTATAAAGCAATTAGGTGGAAAATAGCTCTTGGCTGTTTTGATTATTTTTTCCACCTAATGTTAGTAACAATAACAAAATATTTCAATTATATAGATTTAAGGAGAACGATCAGGGTGCGAATTTATCATATGCAAAATAGTTTATACATAAATTCGAATAACTAGAGTTTAAAGTAATTTTCAGACATGTACACAACAAATATCAAAGCATATTAAAACATATCTAATTAGTTTTACATGAATAGCAATTCGGTTTATAACACATTGTCCTATAATTTTCAAAAAGAGAATTTAGTAGTCTATTTTTAAATATACTTAGAGAGTTGCTTCTTTTTAAGTCAAGAGGCAGGTTATTCCACATCTTAAGAAGAGAGCTTGATGGTAAATACTGTAGTGAGCACATTTTGAGAATGTCAAGTTGATAGTTAAGAGATCTTTCAAAGTTTCCAAGCTTTTTAAAAATATTTTCAAAAGATGCAGGAAGAAGTTTATGTGTATATTTATACATAAATATAGCTTGGTTAAAGTCTACCAGATCATTAATCTTTAGAATCTTATACTTAAGGAAAAGAGGATCACTATGAGACGTGGCTTTTGAGTTATCAATTAATCGTATTGCTTGTTTCTGTAAAATGTGAATTTGTTTCATTTCTGAACATTTGTTTCATCCCCAGGCTGAAATTGCATATTCTATAAATGATCGAAATAATGAGTTGTAAATGGTTAGTTTAATATTACTAGGAAGAAAATTTTTTACACTTGACAAAGCAAAAACTGCACTGGATGCTTTGTTTTTAACCGCCTTAAGATGATGGTTCCTGTTAAGATTTTCGTCTAAATGAACACCTACAAACTTAAAAGATTCATTTTAAATTTAAATTTAAATTTAAATTTAAATTAATTCTTTGGAATTAAATGTGATCTTTAAATAGTCTAATTAATGATTTGGCAAAGATAGGGGAAAAATAAACTTATTATATATTATTATTATTAAGAAAGAAGTTTATAGTTGGAGGGAATTATGAATACAAGAATACAATGTCGTCTCTAAGGCCTCCTTCTTTGTGGGTAACGCTGTACATAAAATAAGAATTATAAACTTGGAAAAAGAGTTTGTTCAACCAATAAAAATTTTATTTTTACTTTGAAATGTTTTATAAATCGAAGCTTGTTGCGTTATGAATGTAGCACGCAACCTAAACTAAAATAAAAGACAACTTTCAATTTGGATAAAATGTTTGACTCTTATTGAATATAGGGATGAGGATGAATCCCACATGAACCAGGATTGGGCGGATCCAAAGAAACTAGCAAACTCTCTTCAGGTTAGAAAACATAAACGTACAGTTAAACCCTAAATATTAAATAAATCGAAAGAATTTATGAAACGTCGTCTTGACAATTTTTCAATGGGTTTTATGCTATTTTACGTAAATTTCAGTATTTGCGAAAATAAATAAATAGCCATGAATAAGCGGGAACAGTTTTAAAGAGCTCCATATAATCATGTAAGTAAAAAAATCAATTATCTGCAACATTCCATTATCAGAACGTGAAGAATACGACATTTGATAAATTCTTTCGATGTATTTAATATTTGGGGTTTAACTGTATATGCAAGAACCTTCAAATAGTCAGGATAAAAGATTTTGCGAATAAAATGGTGAAACATTTTTTTTAACAAATGAGGTCGTAGATAAAAAAAAAGAAAAAATTCAATTGCTAGGAAGTATGACTCGAAGCGCTCTGAAATTGACTTTTTTAGTAAAAGCAAGAACATTCCAAAATGAGAATATACTTTTTAAATTGGCCAAAAAATGAGTTTATTAGTAGCAGGAACAAATTCAAATACATTTTTAACCAAGAAAAACTATTAATTCATGAATTATTATTAGAACTAAAGACATTCTTTTAAATGATCTAACAAGTTCTTTTCCTTAATTATGTACATTATCTATCTATAACTTTTATCAGACCTCATGGTTTCGAACGAATACAGATATCAATATATGTTTATAAAGTATACAGCATTATAAGTTTGTTTGTATGTCCGATCATAATTCATGAAAACCTTGAAAGATATGCCTTTCAAATTTTAGTTGGGGAACTTGGTAACCCAACGGGAATGTTCTTGATTTAAAAATTATTATGTAATTTCAACCTAAAGCCTTGTTGCACCGGCTTTCTTATTGAGTGTTTGCTTTATTTACCCAATTTCCGGGCGATACAGTACAAATTGGGACCGGAAAGGTTGACCCGGCTCGGAAATTCAAAAGTACTACGGCTGCTCGTGTAAATACACATGAGTTTAACAAAGTACTATCATTCGTTACTTTTTATATATAATTATATATATANATATCATCCTGAAACCAGAATGTTATTTAAATCTTGGATGTCATACTAAAACCCGGATATCATCTTAAACCATCATATCTATCCATCCAACCATTTTCTGACCACAAAATAATGTTTAAACTCAATCGTATTTTTTTATCTGCATTATCTTTTTATATTTTTTCTACTTGTAAAAGAGATTATAAGTACTTGTTTTCAAATCAGTCGGTAATATTATAAATCAAATGCAGATGAAAACCGTTGCAAAAATAACAATTATTGATTTTCTTGTCAAAAATAAAATGTTTAATTAACTCTCAAAGATTATGTCCTTCTAATATCTCCAGACAACTGAGAAATACTATTTAGATATTTCGATCCTCTATTTATAAACAATTAATTGTTTTGTGTCTTGTTAATTATGTTAGATTTTTAAACTTGTTCTTTTCAAATTTTTTTTTCAGAATATGATGAATACGAAGGGTTTAGATGGGCACAATATATGAACAGAAAGTAATTCTAACTTTAAAGTTTAAAAAATTGAGTATTACCGAATTGTTTTTTTTTTTACAAAGAAATTCTACTGTTCCATAACTTTTGATTTCATCTACACTATGTGCCTAGTATGACTGAAGGAGAAGGTCCTGATCTTGTTGCGAAGGTTGATGGTCCACCTGGAGAAGCAGAGACGGGAGTTAAACCAGTAGAGGAGAATCCATCCAGAGTCAAGGACGGAGAACTGACCGGAGCTGAAGATGAGACTCCGGTAGGATCAGAGGAGGATACAAATACTGCCAAGGAGAAGAATAAACCTAAAGTCAAAGATAAGGTTGGTAATGCATGAGAATTTAGTTTGTTATTAATGCCTGATATGACACGCAGATTTATGCAGTTTGGTCCGAATCCCAGCAAGCTGTGTCTTTTAATCACAATTTGACCAATCAAACATGTAGCGAGTTATAGTTTTAGACTTTTCATCATTTAAATTAATATTATAAAATTATGAGTAAAACACACTGTAAGTTAAATATAGATATAAACAAGCAGTCCAATTTCTCTGTTTCTATCTTTAGACTTGAACCCAAGTTGACCGATTATTCAGGTCAAACCTTCCTTACATTTTAGTATTAAAGAAACTTAACATTAAATCAAGTTAACAATAATTGTCGATAATGAACCAATAATGTATTATGAATAACCCTGTACTTTATTTTTGTAATCGTAATTGTTATCTAACAATATAAATAAGACCATGATAATTGCTCTGCCATCAGTTTCATGCGAAGACCCAATCTATACAAAAAGGTGACCTAACCCTAGGGTCGACCCTGCTGCTGTTCTTCTGTTTTTCCATGTTTCAATAAATCTTTGATTTTTCCCCAGCGCAACAAAATATGTCGCTTTTTCTCTTTTAAATTTGTTGTGGACTGATGCGTTTTAAATATTTAAGTAAATTGAGACAACTCTCTAAATACAAAGATTGTTGAATTATGAACTAAAACCCGATTTAATTCAAATTTTTTTTTAAAATGACCCATTAAACTTTGGTTTGTCCAGAGCTGAAAACTTTAGAATGATATATCCTTAATCCTGATCGCTTAATCTGAGTATCCAATGTACACACTTTTTGATTTTATTCTTAATCCTCTTTTTTTGGATATCCCCACTGTATAAAAGTTACGTTTGATAACAATTACAGATACAATGCTATATAGATTGAACTAATATCCGATTGAATTAAAGCTGTTCACAAGCCGGCTTTTAGAGCATTTAAGCAAATATAAATTTCATTTTAATATGAACAGCTATTAAAAAATATATTTTATCACATTTTAGGACTATCATCATTTTAAACGAGGCTTAACAAACATTAATCCAAAACTTACATTTATCTAATCGATGTTTAGTTCAATTGATATGACACAATCAACACCAGAAAAAAACCGGGTTTTCAAAAGTTAAAGAGAACATCTTAACATGATACACTGATTGGTGGAATTTTATACTCCTTTCTTGGATATCGAATGCGTATTAAAGTAATCTCAGGTTTAGTAAAACCAGGAGTTTAAGCATAAATCTTGATATCCATCATTCTAAAGTTTTCAGCTCAGAGCTGGAAACTTTAGATGGTATACCTTTAATCCCGACAGCTTTATCAGAATATCCAATGTGGACACTTTTAATTTCTTGCTTAATCCACTCTTTTTTGGATATAGTACAGAAAATCAAAAATCGTTATTTTTAAATTTGAGAGTCCGGCCCTACCGTCTTTTAATATTAATCTTAATTAAATGCGAGAAATCTATTAAATGGTGCGCTAAATTTTTAATTTCCCGGCTTCTGATACGCCCCTGTGATTGGCGGAATTTTATATACTTTTTAGGATACAAACACAAGATTAGGTTAGTCTCTAGATTAAGAAAAAGAGAGGATCAAGCATTAATCTCGCTATTCACCGTTCTAAAGTTCCCAACTTTTTGTGATGAAACTGTAGATGTATGAATATATTATTGTTTTATTTGTGTGATTCATATTTTGGATGTATTAGATTTATTTTTACAAACGTAGTTATGTAATTGTGTTTTCCTTTCAGAAGCACAGCCATTACAAAATCTTACTCTTCCTCACTGTAATTTCAGAAAAAGATAAAAAAGATCAATTTATGAAGAAAACTGCAGATACGACGTTGCTACCTTGTAACTCCTCTATTTTTTATTTAAAATCCCAAAGAGTAAAAATTACTTAAATATCCCCCTTAAAAGTGAGAAGGACCGAAAACCAGAATGTAAACATTATTCATATTAATTGAATTGAAAGCTTTCAAGATCATTGAATATTTTAACAAAGGAACTGAATACTTTTAATTCTATAATCTTGAATTGGAACCTGATGGTGGGCATCTAAACTATGAATTGTGAGTTGATATATATCAAAGGTTTACTGCCTAATGTTGCAAAAGGGATTAAAAAATTAGAGTTTGAGGCATACAATTTTTCCTTCAAACATTTTTCTAAATAGATAAATTATGTAAAGAAATTAAGTCTTTGTAAAAACGCAAGATTTAAAATCTTTGTTAACAGATGGTATAAACCTTTGATATTTCAAACTGAGACTTGCTAATTTAACAGAATTCATAATTTGAAATACAGGGTGTCCCACGAAACATGACAATAGCAAGACGACTTGAAAGTCGTCTTTGATATTTGAATTTAATTGTGACATTTAGTCTTCTATCTACTTTAACATGTATGATTCTTGAAACAATTATCACATAATTCTCCTAGCCCTGGCATTTCCAAAAAGTGGTCTGCGTTTTTTGTGCTTTCAATATTACCGGAGATATAAAGAGTTTGGTTCAGATTTCAATTTTGTTAAAAAAAAAGCAAAATTGTCGAAATCTAAACGAAATTGTTCATATCTCGGGCAATATTGAAAGCACATTTTGGAAATGGCAGGACTAGGGGAATTTTGTGATTATTATCTCTAGAAATTTACTTCTAAAATTAGGTTGACAAATAAACGCAGCAAATTATATAAAAAATCAAGACGACATTCAAGGCCTCTTGCATACTGTCATGTTTCGTGGGACACCCTGTATCTTCAGGACTGTACATTTGGTTGCAGAGATATAGAAATTGAAAATAAGAGTTTGTGGCAAAGACTCAATTCCTTTGTCAAATTCTGCTAATCTAGGTTGATGAGGGAGGGAAGGGATCAGCTCCTGATATACTAAGTGAGGCTGCAATGCACAATGCATATTTTATCTGTCACAATGTTCAGGTACGCAAATTCATATATTTAAAATAGTGAAATAATAGTTTTTTAACAAGAAATACAGACAAATTAATAATCAATAATAAAAGACAAGGTTTATAGCTATGAACTGTTTTCACAAAACCCCCTCATGTCCACGAATTTGACAATTTGACCAGAAACCATAGATTTTTTGATTAGATAGATCAAAATATAATAAATAATCAGGATAAAGTAAAAGCATGACATGAAAGTTAGAGAGGATCCTGATTTATCCTTTCAATATATCATGATCCGTCCTTTCAATATATCATGATCCGTCCTTTCAATATATCATGATCCGTTCTTTCAATATATCATGATCCGTCCTTTCAATATATCATGATCCGTCCTTTCAATATATCATGATCTGTTCTTTCAATACATCATGATCCGTTCTTTCAATATATCATGATCCGTCCTTTCAATATATCATGATCCGTTCTTTCAATACATCATGATCCGTTCTTTCAATATATCATGATCCGTCCTTTCAATATATCATGATCCGTCCTTTCAATATATCATGATCCGTCCTTTCAATATATATCTTTACCCTTTCAGAATAAATTGAAGGATCAGGATATATAGAAAGAATTAATGATTACTGAATATATATATTTAAGGATTTGATGTATTTCCGTGGATTTGTCTGGGAAGGAGCAAACAAGGGTAAAGGGAAAGGAAAGAAGAAGAAGAAATAAATATCCGGAGTAATAATTAATTTTATGTTTAGTCTTATCTTTCTTTTATATAAGTAGAAACCATGATTTATGTGCCACATAAACCAAATTCAATTATTAACTCAAAATATCCAAAAATTTAATAAATATGACTGTTGAAAATATGTATGTGGTCCGTTGAAAATATGTATGTGGTCCGTTGAAATGGACAAATTCTTGAATACGCTTCTGTCCACAAAGGATGAGATTTTAGAGACGACTGTACCGGATTTATTAAGACTTATATTAAATACATTCAAGGTTCCATCAGCATTCTTCTCAATTATTTTAGAGACGACTGTACCGGATTTATTAAGACTTTTATTAAATACATTCAAGGTTCCATCAGCATTCTTCTCAATTATTTTAGAGACGACTGTACCGGATTTATTAAGACTTTTATTAAATACATTCAAGGTTCCATCAGTATTCTTCTCAATTATTTTTTTTCAAAACATTTAAGAGACCCGTAGAAGATTATTTTTAAATTCAAATCATTCTTTTTGGGGAACCCTGTGTGTTGAAAAACTTTACGGAACAATTTCTCTGGATCAATTATATGCGTAACCCATGTCCCACTACGTCATACAGTGAAACCCTTAATAACGAATACATCGGAAGAATTTATCAAATGTCGTCTTGACAATTTTTCAATCAGTTTTATACTATATTACGTAAATTTCAGTATTTGCGAAAAGAAATAAATATCCATGAATATGCGGGAACAGTTTTAAAGAGTTCCATATAATTATTTAATTAAAAAACTTAATATCTGCAACATTCCATTATTAGAAAGTGAAGAATACGACATTTTATGAATTCTTTCGATGTATTCGTTATTAAGGGTTTCACTGTATCTTAATTGGTCCTAGATTCTTGAGATAATTACAGAAAACAAATAAACCCGATTAAAATGTAAAACTTAAAAACCCTAGTTATCTTGTGGGCAACATTTGCACCCACAGGGTTACCCATAAAGGATTAGACTGTAAAGACGACTTGAAATTCTTCAAATAACACGATCCCAAGTTCAAATTATGTCTTATGGCTTATTTAATGATATTGCAAAGAAAGAAAATCCTAACTGCAGGCAATCATGAATATAAGTAAACTGACAGTACACATTTCGTACAGTCGTCTCTGAAGTCTCATCCTTTGTGGATAATCCTGTAGGTCCCAGGTGGACTAGCAATTTTAGCGCGAAGTCGGCCCGAAATGTCGTCTTTGTGAATCTTCCGCTCTCAGACCATTGAGGATAAAATTTGAATTTATAAAAGTGGTTGTTTGGTTAACACTCACTTAAGAAAAAACACGTTCTCAAATATTTGCTAACTTGACTGTGCACACAAACAATATTTAAAAATAGAACTGATACCTTCATCATATTTTCTCCACAATTTATATAAAAAATTGATCCGATAATAAACTTCGTGAAGTTTTCTGGGTTGCTTTATTCTTGAAATTTTCATCTTTGCACGGATTTAAATCTGGAACACGGTTTGGTTTGGAGTCGTCCAAAGATTAAAAGTTCTCATGCAAAAATCGATGAGAATTTTGCGGAATACTTAACATATAGCTTAATTGCGACAAAAAAGTATAATTTGAGTTAAAATCAACTAAGCCTTACGGAGTAAAGTGGCACTTTAATGTTAACCTAGTCTTGAAAATGTATGCTCTTAGTAGCGGTCTGGATCCATGTGGATATTTATTAAATATTTTAAAATATGTTTAAAATGGAAAACTTGGGATCTATCGAATCAATTCCTCGAGAAACCAAGTTTCCCATGTTCTCCGAATATTTGAAGATAATGCTCCGATCTTGCTAAATGTTAGATAATAACTGCCAGATAAATTCTTGTCATAGAACGTAAATGGAAATCCGAGCAATTTGTTCGGAAATGTTGGAACATTAGGAGAAGTTGAACCATAGTATATGAACCCGTAAATTCTTCAGTAAATGTCCCAAATTAACATAAACTCTGTTCAAGTAAATTTAAGATGAAATAATTATCAGTAAATGGCTCCGTAAACATGCTACACATTCTTTTTATTTTTAAATAAAGATATATCAGCAATATTGTCATTACAAACTGGGTTAAGTTAATAGTTTAATAAAAAAAGTCAGATGATTTTTTAAAATACGAAACTCCTTTTAGAATATTCCAAGATTTTTTCTTAGTTTCTTTAAAATTGACTTAGATAGAAAATTAAACAATTTTTATTCAGTAAATTAAGATGTTGAAAAATTACCCAATATCTTTTTTAATTTCAAGACCATGTTTTGGAAATACCAACAACTAGAGTCTCCGGTATTTAATGGTATCAATTGTTTTCATGTGTTTGAGGACAACAGCTCTCTGTCTACAGGCTGAAATTGTATGCAGCGTTTACTTTTTGGTTCAGTAGCGTGTAAAATTGTCATAAACCAAGTTATCTACTATAAAGCATCCCTAACAGACCTGAGACTGAAACTTATAACAGAGTATATCTTCTTGAATAGAATAAACACATTTTTGTAGACGGAATCATGTTCTCCTTTTATTTGCTGTTAATAGAAATCTTTAGAAAGGCGCAAAGCGAAAAAAAGAAGCTCGGTTAAATTCTGAATATGAAGGACTTCGAACTTGGTTTAGTTTTGTAAAAGCTAATTTTGGAGATTAGAAATATATTTTTTAACTATATTAATTTTCACCAACCCATGGATTCAATGTTATAAACTGAATATATTAATTTTCACCAACCCATGGTTTCGATATTGTAAACTGAATATATTAAGTTTATCCACCCTGGTTTCAATATTGTAAACTGAATATATTAGGTTTCTCCAACCTGGTTTCGATATTGTAAACTGAATATATTATCTTTACTTGTAATCAATTCCACCAACTCCCTTCATGTTACAACTCCATCCAGTATGTTTAATGTATACAATAACCTATTCTAGTAGCATTTTGTGAATGGACACTGTTCAGTTTTTAAAGTATTTGTTCATTAACAATTTAAAATACAATTAGTATTTAATAACAAATTATCCTTAAAAAACGAGATTTAATTTTCTTACTAGGATCATATAAGGATATATAAATTTATTCAATTAATAAACAATAAACCTAATAAACTAGGATCATATGAGGATATATAAATTTATTCAATTAATAAACAATAAACCTAATAAACTTTCAATAGTTTTGGATACTCCCATTGTGTCAAATTCTTAATTAAATCATAAAGTTAATTCTTTTTCAACCAGAGTCTAAAACTAAAGAATGCGCGAATTTTAAGTTCGAGGTTAAAAGTTCTGTAAAATAATGAGTAGCTACTTAAATATTAAACTTTCTCAATTTTAAATTTGAATTTCCCGGGAAAAATTTCACCCAATCAGAGAAAAGGATTTATGGAGAATATTACGTAACCATCGCTATAATCAGCTGTTTTAGTTAGTTTTTTAATATTTACGTAACCGAAAACAAAACATATTTCCAGTTACAACCGTATTTTGGGTTTACGTGCAAACATTAATCAATTTAAAACGTGAAATTTATTAAATCAAGGGTATTACTTTTAAATATATTGTAGTTAGTTGAATGCGCGCCGCTTATCACTGAATGATGATAGACAAATAGGGATTGCGGGATTTCAAGATTTTAACCATGTGTTTAATTTTAACTCGTCGATTTCGGCGAGTTAAATATTTAACCACAGGTTTAAATATTTCACCTCACGGTGAAAGTTCGGGTTTAAATTAAGTCAGAAGTGGCATTTAACCATGAACTTAAAATTTAAGTCAAAACTTTTCATTCTTTAGTTTTGGACTCTGAATAAGATTTTCAAATATTTGATAATGTTTTTGGTTTATTTGCAAGATGTCGGATTAAGTCTTATTTATTTATAAGAATGTGTGTAATTATGTACTCTGTATAATAATATCCCAGGGCTTCAATATTCTTTATTTTCTCTAAATTAATTGAACATGTTCCCCCGCTCGAGAGAAAATATTACAATAAAGAACTGAAAGATAAATCATTTATGTCCGAGAATACATACAGAGCAGCACAGTTGGAAGGTTTCTTATCTCTGTATTCATTGTCCTACACTTTATACCAATAAAACTCATACAATTTCTTTTCCTTTATCCACATATTCAAATATTAATTTATAATTTGTTGTTATTTGTTGATTTTTTATTATAGTTATTGCTTTAGAAGAATTGCATCAGAACCAGGGGCGTATTCAGGAATTTGTCCTGGTGATGGGGGGGGTGGTCTAAATTTTTTTTTCTTTCCAGGTGGGCTCAGCACCCGTTAAGGGGCCTGAATACACACATTTTTAGTCACAATGTTGTAAAAACTTAGGCGGGACGTCGGTGCAAAGTTGCAAATAATCAGGTAAACGGATATATTTCAAAGCTACAAAAAAATAGAGATATAGTTAAATAGATGTTGATTTATAAAATGGTTTGAATGTTTAATTAGATAACTCACTATTTAGATATATCACGATAATTAAGGAGTGATTAGGGTTCAGAGGATTTGTGGGATCAGTTTAAAACATTTGGAAATACTTCTGAAAATATAAACCCGGTTGTTTAAGTGTAATTTCTATGGATTGCAAAGTTATTTGTGGATTTTATTATTCACTTAGTTAAAACCTTTCACTTGGTGTTTTCCTTTTGTCGGAGTACAGAGAAATTAACAGATTATTGCTTTGATTTGGACTTATCCAGTTATGGGTTAGAAGGTAGATTTATGGTAAACAAATGTATATTGTTTTAGCTTAAGTGACTGTAGACATAATTACAAGTGACTCTCTATTTAAAGAGTTACATGTCCAATTCACAACGTTACCCTTTAAATCTTTCAGTAACAACAAAGAGATAAATTATGTTAAAATCCTTTCCTTATTATTATTATTATTATTATTATTTCCTTATTCGGTCTATGTACTTCAATGACTGTGTGCGGATTAACTTAGCACATGGGTTGTCAGAACCGTTGTTTTTCACCCAAGGGGTTAAGCAAGGGTGCAGCCTCTCCCCTTTACTGTTTGCACTTTATATTGCCTCCCTAGGGCTAGCTCTGGACAGTTCTAA